TTCTGTTGATATTATTTTTTCGACATTATTCCTCTTCGATATTTTTTTTTCGACATTTTTACGACCAACCTTAAAGATCTGCAAGCAGTCATAGCCATTTATTGGTATGCCTTCTACTATCTTGAATTTATCTTTCAAAGAGCGACAATGAGTCTGAATTTTCTGTTTTGCAAGATTTGCAAAACCACGTTCGTAATTATTACCAATAATAAGAATCTTGTTTCGATAGAGTACTGTGCCTAATCATTAATTGAAAGTTATAGTCCATTCGGTAACACCATCAGTTATTAAATGATTCCCATTAGCTTTGTTTATAAATTCACGACAATGCTAAAGTAAATCACTATCGGACACATCGATATTTTCATGCTTATTGTGAATATCAAAGACGATGACACTACTGTTTGATTTGTATGTTTTAAAATTCATATGATAATCAATAGGTATCGAAAAATCATTTATATCAAACGATGACATTATTCAGTTGAATTGGAATAGTTAATTATTAATCATGTCATTCTATATCATAATATGAATCAATAAAGCTCGAGATGAGAAAATTCGGCAGCAAGAGAAGAAAAAAAAAAGACGCATCAAGTATGCTTTTCTTCTGTTCTGCATATGAAAAGTTGTAATTTCGATTTTTATCGATTTTTAAAAGTTAGGATGTGTATATAAATATGAATGTAACATTTTCTGATAGAAGAAATCTTAATTTGAATTAAATTATTTTCAATTTTCCTGCTTCATATGATTGATTTTCATGTTCATATATATGAATATGTGTTTACATATGCAACCAATGAGAGAGACACAATACAAGCAACGTCGAACGTCATATTGAGCGGGATTTCTTTCTTTCTCGACATTCAGTTCGTTTATTCGAAGAAATTGCAAGACCTATTGATTCACTATCTAACATACTAAAACATCTTCAAAAACAAAAACAGAACTTTATTGATCGTTGATTGTTAGAAACAATTTTTATGTCAGAAAGTAATGTGTTTTTTTACTTAAATAGAAAGAATAAATTATTTCGATATTTGTGTCTTAATAAATAAAGTATAAACGATCTTAGAAAATCCGATTAGATTCTTTATCAACTCATTCATCTGAGGAATTGGATCCCTTGAACTAAATTTCATAAGAGACAATCTGTCCAGTGAATCATTATAAAAAATTTTTTTTGTCTGCATTTATTCTTTTTTTTACTATAATTTAGATGTTGAATGTGGGTGTCCATACTCATTCCAACTACACTCCAAACTTATACCTATTGATAAAATTCTTAGTAGTTTCTGTTTGCTTCAAATGCTTTGTATAATTGGATGAAACTCTTTTTTTTGCGCTTTTTTGAGCACATCAATTGCTGTCGATAGAAAATTAAATTTATTCATTTTTTACATAATATGCAGAAATCTATTTTATTCATATTGATTCACTTTTGCTCAAGACCATATAGGTGTTGATCAGAAATGCACTATAGCATTAACAGTAAGCACTGATAAGCAGCAGCGTGAAAAAAAACTCAATAATTTGTCTTGTTATTCTGTTCGACTGCGCACACCCTCTATATAACTCTTTTATCGCTTCCGATAAGATAACCAATGGAATAACAATTACTGTCATGATAGTAATATGCTGCGATAATGGAATAAAAAAAAAACATGTTCTGTTTATATCATGATCTCATCTGAGAATGCAGAAACATTATTGAAAAGAAACAATATGAATGATCACAATGAACTAGAAAAACAATATATTAATTCTTCAGGTGAAAAATATCGAGAAATCTGTAAGAAATTGAAATGGTATGAAAATCCTGTCTTGCAGACACCCAAGAGTTTTCGAGCAAAGACAACAACATATTCATCATTTTGTAGTTTTGTATGTATTGGAATTTTGATTATCCTGGTTTTACCTATTATTCTGACCGTATTTATTTTGTTTCTTCTTCTATGGATTCTTCCTGGATTCGGACGGTTCTATGAACGATATGCCGAGGCTCGCGATCGAAAAAAATACTATCCACCAATCGACGAAATGAAACCTTGGGGTCCTAATAATCAGCTTATACATGTGGTACATCTTCGTGCACCAGAATCAAAACTTCCATCTATTATTTATTTAAGTGGCCTGGGTATTAGTATGCATTATGTCAAACCATTGCTTTTGAAATTCGTTGAATTTATGGACGAGCCTGTTGAAGTATTTTCATTCGATTTTCCTGGATACGGTGCTTCTGAATCTCGTAATGATTACAATACAGAAAATTTAGAAAGTGAACTCTTATTGTTACGACAAGTATTTACGAAATCGAGACTTCGAAAGCCATTTATTCTTATAGGTGGATCACTTGGAGGTTTATTAGTGCATCTCTATTATTTGACATATCCAGAAGATGTTGCAGGTATTATTCTATTAGATCCAACACCGTCCACCGTATTTGAACGAGAAAGTCCAGTGGTAGCAGATATGGATCGTGTACGTTTCATATGTAGAATAATGGCTCGTGCCGCTTCCTGGGGCTTGCTGAGACCAGTTTCATTCTTGTTAGATTATTTCGGAGTTGGTGATTTCGGTTATTTCTTTCGTCCTTCGCATCCAGGTTACATTGCTCTTCTAATGACGCAAACCATGTTAGAGAAGCTTGAAAATCAATTACGCTACTGCTATTCTATCCCGAATTATATATCAAAGCTGCCGAAGGATGCTACGATTCATAGAAATCTACCTTTGCTAGTAGTAAGTGTACCGGATTCGACCAAAAAACGACCTCGCGGTGGTCTCACTGGAGAGGAAACTCTTCAATGGTGGCGTGATAATCAACAGCTTTTTCTTCGTAATTCTGATAATGCTGGTTTTATTTTTCGCGCAGATTATAATCATGTACAATGCGTATTGGACATGGAACTAGCAGCTAATGCCACAAAAGCTATCTTGACACAAATTCATAACGAGATTATTCATTGATATTTCTTTCAAATTTTCCTTTTCTGACTTAGTTTTCTTTCTACAAATACAAATAAAAAAAATGCAAATAAAAACATGATTTTGAAAATTGAAATAAAATCAGACAAAATAAATGATGTTCACATCTATTAAAAAGAACTTCCTACATATTTCATTAGAAAGATACTATTATATACGATAAGAAGAAAATTAATTTAGTTTTACTTCTAGTTACAGAAAGAGAAGAAAGTTTAACATCTTGACAATTTCACGAGATAAATTAATTATTCTTGAGAAAGAAATCTTATTTGTGATGATAATGATATTTTGACATTAATTATTTATGATCTTATAATAACAATCATTCAGTGATCGTACACAAGAATTTTATTTATATTGAATATTTGTCAATATATGTATGCATTAAATCAATCTAAACAGATGAAATATTTAGGTTTCGAACATATATAACTTCAACTACAGGATGTTCTAAATATCCGAATGCAATTAAAATCTGAAAAATTTCGTCCTTTGTTAATTAAAATTGAAGTTTGTTTCTTTATTTGATGAAGGAAAGTTTCAAGTTGTATTCAATATAAATAGAATTTTTTATGTAAATAGCTTCAATCCAAAAAAAAAGAAAAAATAATATAACCTGCAACACATGTTTTCTGGACATGTACTTAGAATCTTGAGTGTAGACTATAGAGGTGGTCGTAATTGAACATAATCTTAATTAGAGTCACACTATGTTTTATTCTGTAGAATTTGAGTTGCTCTACAAATCCATCTATACAAATGTTTTGTTCAATTTGGAGTTTGATCAAAATCAAACAATCTCTCCTATATAACAAAGCCTATGGATTCTAGCTTTTATATTAGGCTCACAGAATTCCATACATTGTTTTATGAATGTCATGATAATCCCACTTTTTACGATTCTCTCTTTTGTTTGAAATATGAGAAGTAGTCTATTTCTTTTGTTTAGATAATTTTATTTTGGATAGATTTTTTTACATTTTTATACTTTCCTACATAATAGTTGAAAATAAATATGGCTCCAGAAGTCTATTCTGTCTAGCAATGTGTGAATAAAACCATAGATTCATTTCCGCTTTATCCATGAGGTATTTGTGAAAGTAATTTAATAAGATAGAATTCAAGAAAGCATGACTGTTATTACCATCAATTCGAAGTTTTCCGCAACTATTCATCAAAATTTTCGGTGTGGGTATGGGTTTGGGTCTGAATGAACAGGAGACCGATATTCATGCCTACCCACATCCTTTGAAAACATAACTGAAAAGAAGCTTTTCTATTGTGAGATTTTGATCCTCACTAATGTCTTTTATGCTACAACTAAATATGGACATGTATTAAGAATTCTTTCTAATTAGACTACACGAGTAATTTGCTTGAAAAACAAAGTGCACTATGAGTTTTTCTGACGAGATTCATTAAGTTTCCATCGTTTCTATATAGAGTTGAAGTTGCAAGCACTTGTATAAGCTTTCTTTTCTGTGTTGCTTTTTATACTGAAGTCAATTAAAGCAAAAAAAGAAATAATACTTTCAATGTTCTTGATGGGGAAGCTATTTTCAATACATTTGAAAGCTGACAAATACTTTTCGAAAAAGATTTCTAGAGAACTTCACTGTAACAGTGACTATGAAGGCCAGTGAATCTGAATTGCAGCCATGATGTATAGTTGAGGCTGTTAGTTAATGGCTCATGAACTTAAGACGTAGACATATTATACAAGGAGGCAACGTTACTCTTGCTATAGGCATTATGGTCATTCATGCACAGATCAGAACTGAGGTAATACCAACTGTATTTTATCAAAGATGCACTACATTGACGTTCGACTACATACGATAAGGTTTTAAATTTTGTGATAAATTCTGTTTTCGAAGAAAATAATGATTTTATAACAAATTCTTCACGTCTATTCATAAGAAGCAGGAATGAGTGAGAAAAAATATACAGAGGGTAAAAAGAGGAAGGAATAGATACTGTTGATTCTGCTATCTCATACCGGTAAATATTGAATTTTTCCAATATTTACCTTTGGAATATTTGAAGTGTCATGTTTTGAATTTGCCATGATATCGGATCTCCTCAAATCACCTTGAGTATGACATATAATCATATTTCTCTTTCTTTCTTTACATCTTAAGTCGTGCTGTCTCCGAGGGTGTGAGTGTGGGTGTGGATGTTCTCTTCGTCGAGACTCGTAACACACCAACACCCACACCCTTAATAGAAGATCTAGAAATTTGATTATTGTGTAAGAGAAACTATAATAAAATATTAATTATTATAGTCAAATCGATCGTGACAAAAAAGCGTTAGCACGATTTGATCAACAATGGAATAATTACGAAGACAAATTCATAAAGAATCTACAATAATTGCTATGCTTGATAAACATTTACATAATGATCAATGTGAACTCGATGCATTGAATGAAGCAGAAGCTATTTGAGCTGCAGAAGTTAGTTGAATAAGAAAGAAATGAAACAGAATATTATTCAATTGAAATTATTTTTTAGACTGAACGTATAGCTACAGAATTACAAATTAAAGTTGATACATTAACAAATAATGTAACAAATTTAGAAACAAATGATATTAAAACAAAAGAAAGTTTAGGATCAATTAAACATAATTTATTAGAAATCGATGAAAATTATGTCAAAGATAAAGATAAATTAGTACAAGAAAAAACAAATATTAGTAATCAACATGAACAAGCATCAGTAAGATCATATAAATGAAATAATATTTTAATGTAGATATTCTCTATTTTTATGTGAACATTAACATTCATATCAAAATATTAAATTTAATTATAAGAACTTCAGATATAATTCTTATATTTATCTCTTTGATTGACAAGACTTAAAAATGTCATACAACTCAACTTAACAAATTTCTGATTAGATATATGATAGTTCTTTATCGATTAACTGACATGATATTGATTATTCAGTTCGTTTTATATGAATTTGAATTTCCAAAATCTTGATATGATCCTATGCTATGCATTTGTCCCAGTTTCATTTCTGTGTTAACAAACCAATGAGATAAAATTTGAAGTTCGAGTTGGTATATACTGATGTAAAATGAAGTTTATATTCCGAGTAAAAATGTTTATTGGCTTCAAATAAATTGATTACTTAGTTTGGTAAGTTTGATAGAGATGTACAGTTTCAGCTCATTGTTCACTGATATATTATAATAAGCTTCAACAAAAACGACTTATGTTGATACAGCTGGTATCTCCAGATCAGTGTCCAACATGACTCAATTTTTCATTAACCGAGATTGAAAATATTTTTTCTTATCAGGAAAAACGAGTCTTTTTCACAGGTTAACAATCTTTTCAATGTATCTCTATAAACTCTTTCAATATTCGAAACAAGAAAATTATTATATTTCCTCTGAAATTGTCGTTTATCTTATTAAAACTTCAAAATCGGTCAACTGTTAGTGATTCAATCCGACTCGAGTCGAGCACTCCTCCACATTGCAACGAATGCAGATGTTAGCATAATTAATACCATAGTGGAGTTTATATTTTGACTCACTGTTAATATGTCAACATTTACATTTACACCGTATATTTATTCGTTGGAAAATAGCAGAAAAAAATTACTTAAGACAAATGTCACTTCGCTATTTCCAAAATAAATACATAATATCAGGAAAATATATTCTTAAAAATATTGGCATTGTCTGAGAACGTTTAATTGATACTTGTGTCGATTACTTTGTTCTCTTATAAATATTATATACCTTTTTCTAATTATGATCAAGTGTGTTTTCTTTAATCCCAGTACTCATTATATATTTCTTTTCTTTAAATTTCATAATGATTATCAAATTTATTTTTATGTTCAATAGACTACAGCAAAAGATCTTGACACAACACTCAAACAAATTATATGAAAAAACACATAGTTAAAATGGATGAATCTCGTGCTATGATGGAAACATTAACAGTTAAAATTTGTGATGAAATTCAAACAGCTGAGTATGTTATTCTAGCAAAAAATATTATTCATTTAAAGAAAACCAAAATAAAATTTTTGATTATTCTAGAGCAGAATTAGCTCGTGAAACTTATAACTTTGATCTAGTTCATGCTGCTGATGAATAAGAAGTTGTACGAGTTTTACAGGAATGTTTACAACGACAATCAAATACTGATTCATTAAATAAACAATTATTTCAAGAATGTTTAGATTATTTATCTGATAAAAAAGTAAATCCTAAAAAACAAAGCAAAACATAAGTATTTATTATAAATTTAGATATCTATTGAAAAAGCTCTTCTACTTAATACACAATTAGTGAGTACTTATCGAAGAACATTATATACTTATTATCAAATAAAAACACGTTTAATAGGTAAATTTAGAACAAAGACTTGATGCTGTTGCTCGAATTAAAGATACAAGATAATTAATTGAATTACAAACACGACTTCATGATGCATTGAATTTTTATTTTGAGATTAAGAGTAAATATGAAATTATATTTGGATACTAATAAAAAAAGTATAGTATATAATTAGTCTTCGGGTACATGTATAGTTTTGTCTGTAGAAGAGATTATAATCAATTCAAATATCATTCATTTCATATGTTGGAAGAAGTAGACAAACATATGGAAATTGGATAGTCTCACAATTGTTTTTTTTTCTAATATTTATTGTTTTTGTACAAATAAAAGATGCATATGTTGAACAACGGCTTGATCATCTAAATCGAGAAAGTCATCAAAATCATCTATAATTATCACAAGTACAAGAAACAATTCAATCTGCTGTTGATCATATAACTAAATTTCTTGTTGATCAAGTCGATTTTGAAACTGTACATCGTGAAGCTATGCTCAAAGTACACAGAGAAGAATTACAACAACAACAAGAAGTACTTGTATAACAATTTTTTTAAATAATATTTTTTTTTTGTAATGCATATTTTGATAAATCATAAAATACTTAAGAATGATGATCTTTTATTTTCAATAAAACAAAAAAAAAGACGGTGAAATTCTTACAGATTGTGTTCATGTAATCATATAGTTGAGAGCTCGATCTGCTGATCATGAATATAACGGGTGGCCCATAAATAATTATACTGTCAGTATTTTCGAAATTTCTACTCTATTATCGCTTTGACTAAAACACTTTTTTTATCAAAAGATAGCGCTTGAAATTCTCTACAAAGCTATATATAACTAGATCCTAAAACTGTTCTAGATATATTTGAAAAAAGATGAAAAATAAAGATATACAAAAAGCTGGAAAAAATAACGGGATGAACATAATGAATGGCCACACTTTGCATCCCATTTTTTCATCACTTACTTTGTCCTATTAGAAAAACAAAATATACCAAAAGGTGCAGCGTGAAAAGTTCTACAATTTACATAAGGTCACCTATTTTATAGTTGCACGTTTTGTTTTCAAAACGGACAAAGTTTTGAGCGATCAAATTTCGACCGTGCGAAAATGATATTGTTTTTTGGTACAAGATGACTTCGTTTTTTTATTTCCTCTTTTTATAATTTGTTCCTTGTAAATTGTAGAGCTTTTCGCGCTGCATCTTTTGGTATATTTTGTTTTTAAGAAAACATATCAAGTAATAAGAAGATGAAATAAGAAAAAATGACTTCATCTTGTACCAAAAAAACAATATTATTTTTGCGCGGTCGAAATGTGATAGTCAAAACTTTGCCCATCTTGAAAACAAAAAGTGCAACTATAAAATAAGTGGTCTTGTGCAAATTGTAGAGCTTTTCACGCTGCACCTTTTGGTATATTTTGTTTTTTAATAGAGTGAAGTAATGAAAACATTATATGCAAAGCGCGACCTTTCAGTATGTCCATACCGTTATTTTTTTCAGCTTTTTGTATGTCTTTATCTTTCATCTTTTTTCAAATATATCTAAAACAGTTTTAGGAACTAGTTATATATGGTTTTGTAGAGAATTTCAAGCACTATCTTTTGATAAAAAAATGTGTTTTAGACAAAGCGATAATAGAGTAGAAATTTCGAAAATACTAACAGTATAATTATTTATGGACCACCCGTTATTATATACCCAGGTCGAACATGCACGCTCGTAAACGGTCGTTTACGAAAAAAAACGGAGATATACGGAGGTCGTGCACAGCTTCCGTATGCGATGCGCGTATACGGAGCGGTACGATGAGAAACGGACTCCGTATACGGAAATCGTACAAAAATACGGAGGAATTAAAAGGTAAGCATCTGGGCTCCGTATACGGAGCTATACGACTGCCGTATACGGTCGTATGTCACCGTGCATGGTCGTATCGGTACCATAACCGTACAATTTAATGAGCAGCACATGTTGTGCAACTCACATATATTTTTCGAAGAAAAATAGTGAGTATAAGTTTAAATGCGAGGTTTTTCGACTTCTCTTTCCTGTCCCATTACAGATCTTAGCATCCACGGTCAAAGGTTAAAGATCACTGGGGACAAATGCTGCCATAATAACGAACATATAACAAGTATCAGACTCTTTTTACACAAACCCTTAGCGACGGAAAAGGTGTTGAACGGCGTTAACAAACACGGCTTAGACTGTTCTGGAATATTTCAAAGCTTTCCTTGAAATTTAAATGGCTGGGCTACATTTTTGAATGTTGTATATAGTGGAGCGTCTAGTTTTTGCTCGGATTTAATGAGTAAATGATGTATATCAAAGATGGATGATGACTGATGATGTATTGATCTACTACAATCATCGTAGGATCAAGAGTACCTGCCTAATTCGACTTATAATATAAATGGACTGAAAAAACATCAACAGCACTCAAACTCACCAAGAATAATTTTTTTTCTCCATTTATCATTTATTATAAAAGTGATAAATGAAGACTTAACTGTAAGTTTATACAAAATATTTATATTTTTTTGCTCCATTCAACATTGATTATAAATCTAATAAATGATAAGTAAAAAAAACTATTAGTAGTTTGTATCAATTTATAGTAAAGTGTTCATTTATGACTTTCATAATCAATGATAAATGAAGAAAAATATATATATAAATACTTTGCATAAACCAACAGCAAAGTCTTCGTCATTTATTAGATTTATAATCAGTAATAAAGGAAAAAAATATAAATACTTTGTATAAATTTACAGTAAAGTGTTTATCATTTATTACTTTTGTAATCAATAATAAATGAAGAAAAAAATATATATAAATGAAGACTACTGTAAGTTTATACAAAATATTTATTTTTTTTTTTGCATTATCATTTATTAGATTTATAATCAATGATAAATGAAGAAAAAACGATATTTTTTTTGTATAAATTTACAGTAAAGCCATCGTTATTTATTACTTTTATAAGAAGCAATATAAGTCAACAGATTTATAGACTATTTTATTACTTATTTTCAAAATGATAAAAAACTTCTGAAGGTGCATTTATATTATAAGTCGAATTAGGCATCTCATGAAGATCAACAAAAAATTTATGAACTGATCAAGTTCTAATTCGAAGGAATTATTAAAATGAGACCATGACATCTCTCAGTAAAATTATCAATGGACTTATATTCTTAATAATATTTAAATAGATCGATAGATAGGTAGGTAGACACGTAGATAAATAGCTAGATAGATAGATAGGCAGGTAGATAGTTAGATAGATACGTAGGTAGGTAGTTAGATAGATAGATAGGTAGTTAGATAGATAGATACATAGATAGGTAGGTAGGTAGATAGGTAGGTAGATAGTTAGATAGATAGATAGATAGGTAGGTAG